TCAAGTTGCATTCCATGCAAAAAATTTGGCCTACATGATGGAAATTTCTTGCCTAGTAGATCCTCAAAAATATATCGGCATTGGCGTTCACCGCTTCTATGGTGGCAAAGAGGACACCATTCGAATTTTTTCATGATATACTTTAATGGATACTCCCATTGATGCGCACTATTTTCACAAGACCAAAGATATACATCATGACCATTTATTTGCCCGGTCTTTCCAAGGCATAGTCCACCACGTTTTTCAGCATATTGATGGGCTTTGGTTAATTGATCATCAACAACTCGAACATAATGAACAAATCCAGTATGGTGATATTTTCGCATAAATTCATTGGGCGGGTATTCGATTTTATCAGGTTCTTCGATTACTTGAAGTTCCTCATATTTAAAAGGTCTTTTGGGATTTCGTCCTATCAGATGAGCAGTTGATTCAATGGGTTCATCCTCAAGATAATATAAGATGGGCTGTGGTGGGTTTTTTCCAATAATAACTCTTTTTATCTTAAAAACACGCAAGCTCCAATATGGATCGATTGCTCTACGTCTATGGTCTCCTTCCAACTCGCCTGCTTTTAACAGATATCTAACCGCTGTACCTTTTTGTAATTTTATCTTCTCATCTTTTCCGATTGCACGCTTAGGTTTTTTAGAAGGCTTTGACTCAACTTCTTCCAAAGTCACAGCACGAGCTGGTGACATTCCAATAAGGCGAGTCTTACTGTTATTCAGATAATCAATATACTTCTTAAGGATTTTCTTAAATACCCTTGATCGCTCCCCATCAGATAATCGTCCCTCTATAGCATATTGGACCTTATATGTTAATATTGCTATTCTTTTCTTAAATGCTTTAATAAAAGCCAAGCTCTCAAAACTATAAAGGTCAACAACACGTATTGGGACATTATATTGTTCCATTCCTCGTGAAAATGCACCTCGGAACGAAGCATCACCATCAGTCATTAATAATTTTGGCCATGTAAGGGGGTTAGAAGGGTCCTCATAGATATATTTAATCGCAATCCAGATTTCTAAGCTATTTCTTGATGTTAGTGAGCGTCCATCCTTAAAACGCGTTGCCACGTCGATAACTAGGAGAGTACAAACAAATACCCATCCACCATCTTGATCATGAGTGTGGAGCAATATATCGCATTGATGGACTTTGTTCGGAATCTTAATCTTTGAAAAACTTGCCTCAGCTTTACATGGTAATGGCTGTCGATATATTTGGTAACTATATTGGTGTTTTATCCATTTTGTGATATTCTGCAATCGAAAAGAATATCCTTCCTCCTGACACACTCTATATAATTTTTTTGCATTGGGATAGAAACCGGGTATATTATAAAACAAAAGTCTACAAACTATACGGAGCTCTTCATCGGGATCTATTATAATTTGGGGTTGGCTCATTCTCAAGATAGGATTATTATGATGGTACTATAAATTAGGATGAAATACCATGTTTGATCCGGCATATTCAGAGCTTTTAGATACGAATCAGGAGCTTCGTGGTGAGCTTCAAGATGAGATTTTCATTAATAAGAGCAATGAGAAAAAAATTCGATCTCTGGTAAAAGAGCTTGAGTAATGTTATCGAACTATCTCAATACAGGATAATACTATCATAGCTCACGAGAAAGAGATAGAGAAACTTAAATCAGAAATATCCGATTTGCGAAAACAGCTTAGGGTTTTACAACAGGATAAGAAATTCAAAGATGAGGTTGAGTCTATTCAAGATGGGCGAATCATAGAGCTTGAAAATAAGGTTGGAAGTCTTAAAACAAGAATCCGGATTCTTATAGATAAAAAAATCTCAATAAATGCTTTAGATATGGCAATGACTAATCTTATCGCAAATGTTAATAGAGGGTTAGATCGAATTGAAAATCACATTAGGGGAGTTGGTACGCCTATGCAGAATCCTGCTAATGTTATAGATGGTATCAGAGGCTCATTAAATACTATTCGGGTTATTTTGCAAAATATTACAGCCGAGCGTGATCAGTACCAGGACATATTAAATGATACAAATAATCGGGAACGGGATCTTGGAAATCAGTTAAGAGATAGTAGAAATCAGAATTTACGGTTACAACGTTTATTAGATGAATCCCGAGTTCGAGTTGAAAGAACTGTGAGAGAAAGGGACAATGCTCAAGAAGAGCGGAACTTGGCTATGCTGGCCTATAATAATGAAAGACAAGAATCCCGGCGCTGGATGTTTTCATATCGAGATAAAGATAGGCGTATCCAGGAACTATTGCGGGAAAAATTTGCTAAACAACTATTATATCGGCGAGATACTAACCGTCTTCAGCAAAATACCCGACAGTTGCAGACTAATGCCCAAAATCAGGTAAATAGGATGTTAGTCATTATAGCAAGAAAGCAAACCCGTATCGGTGAATTACTACGTGAAAAGTTTGTTTTCCAGCTAGTGATTAGGCAAAGAGATCAGAATATTTTAAATTTGCAGGGACAAATTTTGGCGCTTCAGAATAACCCACCTAATATACAACATATAGGTATGGCAGGATATATACCGCCAAGTTTTAGTGGAAATTACGACGAAGATATCGACTATTTTATCAATGAATTCAGAAGGTATTTAACTGCTTCTGGAAATAATTTGGCAAATAATGCAGATAGGATCAGTGCATTAGGTTTTTTTAAGTCATGCTTAAAAGGTAAAGCAGGTGAATGGCTTGAAAGAGAAATAGCGGGAAAAAATTGGGAATTATCCAATATTATCTCTACTGTAAATCGTACTTTGGCACAATTACAAGGTGATGGACAAGCACGAATTGTAGGACATTTATCACCTACGGCACCAGCTGGACTTAATGCACAACTTGTGGCGGCCGATGCTGGTGCTGGTGCTTTAGTGATTTCCGGACATACAGTTTTCAATGAAGATTGGACGCCAGCAGGAGGTAAGCCAACATCTAAAGTTGTGTGTGCACCAAATGCAAATTTGGCGAATAGAACAGTTGTATTAACCGACATCACTCTCGGGCAATTAATTGATTACTTTAAAAGAAATTATCCCACAGTTAGGCAACAGTATGAACAAGCATTATTTGGTATAGCAGTGCAAGGAAGCGATTCTGTGGGTACTTATTATACCAAACTCAAGAAGATTGCAAGACACGCTAATATGGGAGATGATGAATTCCGCCGTAGATTTCTTGGAGGACTTTCTCCAGATAATCAAATGGAGGTTCGTCGCATGGGACTTAATAGACCTATTGACGAAATCTTATCATCTTTAGAAGAGATTGAGAGATTTAAAGCTGAATTACTTTCTGGTGCCAATCCTCTTTTGCAATCCCAGCAACACACACATTCCTCCCAATCATATCCATCAGCCGAGATTGAGAAGTTAAATTCTCAAATTGCATCTTTACAAGCGCAAATAGCTCAAACAAACCAGGTGCACTCTCAGAATATTCAGAAGCCTTTAGACAGAAAGGAGTTAGAGTATTTATATGTGCTTGCAGAACGTTTAGGTGCACCACTAAGTTTGCTTGAAACATATAATAGTTCAACTCTCAATAGTTATATCAATGAGGAATTAGAAAGAAGATTAGGAACTAATGATGTCTATCATGTTAAGGCTAAGCATTTCAAGAAAGAACCTTTTTTAGATCCTCAAATTTATGCGGTCAAAAAATCTTCTCAGCGTAAAAGTGGTTGTAAATCTACTCGCAAGTCTTCTAAAACAAAGAAAAAGAAATCGAAAAATAAGTCTAAGAAGAAGAAAAAATCCAAAAGTGGTCGAGTCCATACAGCTAGAGTAGACGAACAATCGGATTCAGATTCTTCCGATAATGATACTTCTTCGTCGGAGTCTGAGGATAGTTCTTCTAGCTCTGAGAGTTCATCTTCTGAATCAGAGTCTGAGGCTGAGGCTAATGCTGAAATTAATGTTAATATATCTCGGGTAAAAAAAAAGTGAAGAAAGGACATAGTCCTATTACCTTCTCACAGAAGAAGAAATCAAAAACTCGCAAGTCTCGTAAGTCTCATAAGGTAAAAGATGCGGAAACACCCGGTCCCTTTGGGATCCCCCCTTTAGCAGATCCGCATCAGTTCCTATTTCCAAGAAGGAAAAGCAAAGTTCAAAGTCCCCACCACAGGACGAACAATCCCGCTTAGAAAAAATCATTGAAAAAATTATTGAGAAAGTGCTTAATGAAAAATTTGGCACTATTACAACCCTCCTTCACCCGCAAGGTGGCGATTCTAAAATACCGGCCGATTCTGAGGATGATGAGTTCATCGATGGTCCTATGGAGATAGACTTTGTCCAAAGAAAAGATCCCGCCACAGATGTTGTCACTGTTAGATGTAAAATTAAGCGTCTAGTGATTCCGGCAGGTACTGTTGATCCTGGTGCCAATTTCGCAATTATGTCTGAGGATATAGCCAAACGATCAAAGCTAGTAATTGATACAAAAGAAAAACATGATCTCAGAGGCATTGCTACTACTCCTACAGAGTCGCTTGGAATTGTTAGAAATGTCCCAGTGAATTTCGCTTCCAGATGTACTATATACGCCGATTTTGCAGTAGTTAAGTATCCTAAGCCAATGCTGATCTTACCCAACACACTTCTCGATAAATATAATTATGATTTACTTGCATCAAAACGAGAATTGAGACTAGAGTGTAATGGTAAGGAATTTTTTATCCCAATTAATATACATAAGGTCAAGAACAAGCTCGAGGTGAATTGTGCTACCACTACTCCCGAATGTGATGAATCCTTGACCCCGGACTGTATTTCGCAGGATTTAAGTGAGGATAATGACATATTAAAAAAAAAGTGAGCTATGAGGAGCTCGAAAAAATATTATATGATACTCTCATTTCCAAAGCTAGATTAATTGAGATTAATAAAAATCTACGATCCCTTTCTTCTCGCTAACT